AAACGTAGGGCTCAGTTGTGGTCGTAACTTGAGGACAACCTCTGTTCTGAGATGGAAACGTAGGCGGACGGTTACAGCCCAGGAGGGAGGATGTAGAGCGCCTCCAGGGATGCAGATCGGAGGGGACCAGGAGGCTGCCAGGCTGTGATAAGGGCAGCCGGGCCCTGGCATCGCCCATTTCAGCACCAGGCCCAGGCCTGCAAGTGCCTGACAAGCTCCAGAGGAGGCAAGGCCCAGGGATAACAGATGATCAGAGTTGGAAGGGACCTTGTAGGTCATCTAGTCCAACCCCCCACCCATGCAGGAGACCCTACACCCTTTCTGACAAATGGCAGTCCAGTCTCTTCTTGAAAGCCTCCAGGGATGAAGCTCCCACAACTTCCGAAGGCAACTTCTGTTCCTTCGGTTGATGGTTCTGTCAGAAAGTTTCTCCTTACTTCCAGGTTGAATCTCTCCTTGTTCAGTTTCCATCCATTGTTCCTTGTCTGGCCTTCAAAGGTGCTTTAGAAAATAGCTTGACCCTCCCCTCCTCCCTGTGGCAGCCCTTCCCTCAAATATTGGAAGACCCCTCTCCTGTCTGCCCTGGTCTCTCTTCACTGGACTAACATGCCCAGTTCTGCAACCGTTCTTGGTATGCTTTAGCCTCCAGTCCCCTAAAATCATCCTGCTTGCTCTTCTTTGCCCTCTTTCTAGAGTCTCAACCTCTTTTTTATAGTGTGGTGACCAAAACTGGATGCAGGACTCTAGGTGTGGCCTTGCTAAGGCTTTACAGAGGGGTATTAGAACCACCCTTGACCTCCATTGTCTCCCTCTGTTCGTGCATCTTAGGATTGCATTGGCTTTTTGGGCTGCTGCTGCACCCGGCCCTTCCCCGAGAGAGCCTGGGCCCCTGAGGGGCAGCAGGGCGAGGTGCCAGGGATGGGCAGAGGAAAGTGGGCAGCCCTCCCTGCTCCGCCTGGGCCAGCAAGCCAGGCTGTCCCCTCGCCCCTTCCTCCCGGCGGGAATCAGCCCGAGGAGCCCACTCGCAGCTGCCCCAGCAGGGGGGCGTGAATTCAGGGCCCCCGGGCGGGACTAGAAGACCTCTAAGGTCCCTTCTGGCCCTACAGTTCGATTCCTCCCAGCGCTGCGCTCCTTCTGGCGCCGCGAGACCCTCCCCACCCCGGCAGCTCGCCTGACTCCTTGGCTGCAAGGCCGGCGCGGAGCCGGAGCCCCGCCTGGCCCCCTTTCCTCGCCGGGGAGAGACCCCCGAAGCCCCCCCCCCACCACCACCACGGGCAAAGCGGGGCGGGCGGGGCGAAGGGCGGGGCCTTGGCGGCAGGAGGCCCTCGGCCACGCCCCCCCCCGCGCGGGGCAGGCCGGGAGCGTCGGGGCGCGCCTCCCCCTGTGATTGGCCGAGCGGGGCGCGCGCCAAGTTTCAACCGCCGACTCCGCTCCCGCCATGGCGCCCGGCAGGAAGAGGGGGACGGCCCGGGGCGCCGGCAAGGCCTCGGCGCGGGACAAGCGGGTGGACGCCTTCCTGAAGGACTTCGACCGCGAGGGTGAGGCGCGGGAGGGCGGGGAGCGGAGCGGGGAGGGGGGGGGGGGGGGGGGGGGGGGCCGCCCCCCCCCCCCCCCCCCCCCCCCGCCCCCGCCCCCCCCCCCCACCGCTAACCCGGCTTCCCTCCCCCTTGCAGCGCTGGGCGGCAGCGAGAAGGCCCTGGAGAAGGTGGCCTCGGTCAGTGAGTAGCCCGGGGTCCGGCGGGGGGAGGGGGGCAGTGGGGGGCCGCCTCCCCCGCCCCTCCTGCGAGCCGCCCGGCCTCCTCCCTTGCCTCCCCTGCAGAGCGAGGTGGACATCGCGGAGATCACCCAGCTGGCCTCCAGGGCCATCCAGACGCCCTTCCGGGTCGCCAAGAAAGGTCAGCCGGGGTTGGGGGGGCTGGAGGCGGGGAGGAGAGCCCGCCTGATGCTCTCACGGTGCCCCCCCTGCGGAACCAGCAAGCCAGGCTCCCTGGCGGTGTTTATTCAATCCCGGGAGGGGAGGGGCTCCCCCAGACAGAACGATGCACCCTTCTCTCTGCCTTTCAGGCAAGGGGGAGAGGTGGGGGCAGCCGTGCCTCCCCCTCCTCATCCCAGCCCTTGTCTGTCCACTGCAGGAGGAAGAAGGCCCCTCCTGCCTGTTTGCAGCCCAGCCGGTCCTGAGCAGCCCTTTGCCGGCTGGGCCAGCCACACTTGCTGGTGTCCCTCTTGCTTTAGGGTTTTCCCTTCCGTGGACACCTTTTATCAAGCGGGGTCCGTTCTATGAGCGCCTTGGTCCCCCCGCCCTCAGGTCCTGATCCCTATACCTGGACAGACAGGTGTACGTTTGTGCCTGTGTGTATATAGAGACGCATGCCTTCCGACACAGCCGTACGGAGGCATGGGGTACCAGTAATAGATGATATGAGCATCAATATTCACAGTGAAGTCACCTCCCTACCCTTCTACTACTGCTATACTCAAGAAAGAATTGCAGAGTCCTTGCAACCACAGCTGAGCCCAAAATTTCTGCTGCTGAGGCAGCTGTCGAGGGAATTTTGTCCCACTTGGCAGCTTTTCTTGGCACGGTTGGTAAGGGAACTACTGCAGTTGTTGAATTAGCGACGTTGACCACCTTGGTTTTGCTAGCCAGAAGGTTGCAGAAAGTGCTCCCTGGACATGGTGACCGTCATAAACATGAACCAGTTGCCTAGCATCCAAATGTGGGTTCTGTGGCCACAGGGACACTGCAATGGTCCACATTTTTCAGTGCCGTTGAAGTTCAGATGGTCACCAAATGACCAGTTGTAAGTCAAGGATGCCGGGATGAAGCCTGCTGAGAACGGAGCCCTTCAAAGTTGCCTCCCTCGGCCTGTTCCCCTTGCTCCCCTTCCTCCAAGAATTCCTCTTCCCCCACAGCCAAGCAGCCCATCGATGAAGAGATGGAAGCATCTCTGCTGCCCGCAGGCAAGAAATCCAGGCAGGATCTGGAGGTGGCACCCCAGAAGCCGGGGAAGGTGGGTCTCTCTGTCCTTCCGGGGACCTCCACCTTGGCTCGTTCGTCCTTGGCCAAGGGGCCTGGTGGTGGCTCCCCTCCACACCGCTTCCCCTGCAGGGCTTCTGCTACCTTAACAAAGCAGGCGGCCCAGGGGGAGGGTGGGGGGGCCTCAGAACTGCCTGAGAACAGGTCTGTCTCTGCCAAGCCCCCCCACAGTCCCAAGGACGGACAGGAGGAGGACGTGAATTGGGAACCATGAAGTGGGGAAAGGATGGGAAAGGCCGCAGGATCTGGGTGTGGCCAGTCTAGGGAAAAGTAGGGCCAGGGGTGGCGTGCCTGCAGTCTCCCAGGCTGCCACAAAGAAGGGGGTGCTGAGGGGGGCCAAGCTATTCCCCAAACCAACCCAGGAGAGAAGGGACCCAGAGTGGAGGAGGAATTTCCTGACAGTGAGGACAGTGAGCTGGTGGAACCCCAGAAGTTGTGGCTGCTCCATTGCTGGAGGTTTTTATGGACAGCCATTTGTCTGAAATAAGCAGGTGGCTGGATTAGAGGACCTCCGGGGTCCCCTCCGGCTCTCCTCTGAATGAAGTGGGTGGGTGGGTGAGGGCGCTTGAAAGAGGTTGGTGGAGTCACCCCTCCCTCCTGTGTTCCAGGCGCAGACCTCGACCAAAAGGCCCCCCAACTCCAAGAGGACCCGGCCCCCTTCATCCCGAGCCAAGAATTTCCCCAAAAGGTAATGGGCCCCGCAGCTCAGAGACCAGCAGGGGCCCCACAGGACCACCCTGGGCAGCAAACGTTCCCTTCTCTCCGGGATTGAGCCAAAGGCCCCCAAACTGGGCAGCTTCAATTCCCAGGAGCCTTAAGTTGCGGGAGGCCTGGAGGCGACAGAGGCCTCTCGGGGCTCCTTGAAAGATGCCAGCTGGAAGAAGGTGCTGGCCAGGAGGGTCCGGGGGTCTCGGACAGAGGCACCCCAAAAGCCAGCATCCTCCTGGGGGGGAGGAAGGGGGCGGGAAGGGCTGGCGCTGCTTTAGGCCAAACTGCCCACAATGCCCAAAGGGGGGCTGGGAGGCGAAGCCCCTCCCAAAGGAAGGGGGAGCTTAGGAGGAGGTGAAGGGGCCCCTGGTGGCACGCAGGGAGGAGGGGCCCGGAGGGTGAGGCAAGGGCCACGCCTGGGTGCTCCGGCCTCCGGGGGGGGGGCTGTGCCCAGGGGCTTTCCTGGCCGTGGGGCCTTGAAGCGAGGGAAGGCCGGGTGTGGCTTCTCCGTCCCTGGAGGCTTCCCAGGAAAGTCTGGGCAGAGCAGAATCGGGGCAGGAGACCCCCGAGGGGCCTCTCAGCTCGAAGAGTCTGGGGTCTCTTTCCTTCCGGAGGGCAGGACAAAACTTGGGGTGCAATTTACAGAAGCCCCCCATCTCGTGAGGCGGAGGGCTTGTCTTCCCTGGCTTGCCTCTTGAGGGGCCGTAACTGGAGTGGTGTGGGTGAGCAAGGGGGTGGACTGGATGCCCTCGCGGTCCCTCCAAGCAGGAGGAATTGCAGCCTAGGGCTCTGGCAGCCAGTTGGAGGGCCCCGACAGGCCACTGACCCGGTGGCTGCTGTGTTTTAGCAAAGTGAGCCACGCCACTCCGGTCATCCGAGGGAACCCCACGAAAGCCACCACTCCTCTGTTCACCCCTGCTGGCAAGTTTGACTCCAGGTGAGCCCCTCTGCCAGGCGGGTCTCGGGGGCTGCCTCAGGGCGGGGCTGGCTGGTAGAAGCTCCGGGGGGGGGGGGGGGG